TTGTGGCAGTCCATCCTCCGGATTTCACTTCGGGGCAATTACCTGCGAGGGCTGTAAAGTGAGTTTAAACCAAACTCACCCTCCTTTGCTACTGCATCAAACGTTTTTGACAGAAGAAGGAGCATTCCAATAAACGTGACCCAGATATATGCACTTGTTTATGTCATAATTTCTGAAATGTATAAGAGAAGACTTACGGTTGAACGTCCTTCGAAAGGTCTTTTTGGAGACGACCCAGTCATTATGGTACTATATAACTGTTGTGTACGTTTTCAAGGTTGGTCCCGCAGCTAGTCGCCGGACGAGCTGGCTAGTTGAAAAAGATAAGTAAATACTAAACCGTATTAAATACATTTCTTTATTTCTCCGAGGCTTACCGTGGTCGTTTGAATTTTTCCTTGAGGATTATGTATGTGGCATCTAAATTGATCTGCTGATTGATGCATGCCGAATCGCTTCCACGAATTCATGGCCTTTTCTGATAAGGCAGGTGCACACAATTGGAGTGTTCTTCCACGCAACTTGATGCCCGATTTCCAGTCTGTGCATGACCACCTGGGATAGAGGGTCTCGTCTCCCAACCGTAAATTGATGTTTGTCTATACGGGTTTAGACGGATTTTTCAGTTTGAACACAATAAACGATTTGAAAACTGGCGCATGAGATTTTTGAAAAAAACTCTTTCTTTATCGACCTAGTTAACCCTGTCTTTAGGATTAAAAACTGCGTGTGCTTCTGAAATCGAACAAAAACACACTGCTCTGACGAAGAAAGTTAACGAGTGCAAATTCAATACCGATTCAAACTAAGGTTCCAAAATGGACATCTAAGTGAGCTTGTGCGTCGATGCATGAGGCATCAAGAGCTCCGACAGAAAGGCATTTTGAACAATACGGTAGCTCAAGCTCTAAAAACGTCCTCTGATGAAGTCTCCCACAGACTCTCGGTCGCATTTGCACGAAGTAGATTTGGTTGCTGAAACAGGGAGTTTATTTGTTCAAACGTCCTGTCTGACCCCAAAACTCACCACCAGAGACAGACATGGATACCAATAGAAACATACAGGGATGACAGTATTTACGGGATACTTAACATACGGCTTTTAGTTAACAGGTTGCGCTGGAGACACTGGTCGCCGCACCTTCATGCCTGTGCTAGCCGTTGACCTTATTATGCCTTAATTGTCCTCTTCTACAATGCCATGTTTGAATTAGTATGCTTCCGTTCGTAGCCCGTCCACCTCTGTCGACTGAGTATGAAACGAACAGGTTGAGCGAAAACTCAAAGCTGGAATCTATTTCTCCTCGGTTCCAGCCGTGAGTGCGCTTGCGAATAGGGCTCACTTTTGCCTCAATGGCTTCCAGAATAGACATGACCTTGTACGGTGGATAATGGACCTCGTACATTTCTCATCAAGAGCGCCGCTAGCACCGGAAATGACAGTGATTCCTATGCGCGTAGTTAACAAGAAGCTATTCAAACAGCCAGCGCAAATGACGACTCTTCTTTCCTCGCTTGCACTACCTATGAAGCTTCAGATGGGAGCGATCACCCGAAAACACGCCGAGCATTTAGTCTGCATAATGACACCGGGTAAAGCGAAATTTACTCTAACCAGGCGTTGAAATAGTGTCCATTGCCAAGGTAAATATACGGAGGCTGGGAAAAGGGGGCAACGGATGAGGGTTAAGAGCAGACTTCTGCCAACATTTTCTTAAAATCCATTTTGAAGATGGAAACGAAGTGTTCTATAGGATGTAGAAGCATCATACATGGTTTTTTTTCACCACGATTGAATGATGCTGGCGACTGTTCTTCCATGGCCCACAGAGTTTCCTTTTTAGTCAAACATTGTCCACAACACCCCATGCAATGTTTGACAGGCCTAATTGAAATATGCTAGGAAGTGCTAGTATCGTAGACTGTATGAATGCTTTAGTGAAGAGACATTCCGAATCAGGATTGGTCCTATTAACTTCTTGAGGTTAGATTCAATGAGGCGTTGCTCACTCGGGCTAGCCACACAAGCCAACGTATGTGTATACTTGTGCGAGTAAATACCTTGTGCAAATCCGACTGAGACTATTTGCTGGGAAGACAGTGCATGCAACACCTGCGCGCTGGGTGTCACTGTACGGGCTTATATTTGCAGAAATGCATTACCCACAAAGACAATGGAGACTGGAATGGCCAGTTCTGGCTTATTAGCCATCATCAGCCGGCCATGCCCAATCCCAGGGGTGGTGACTGCCGGGACTCGAACCCGTGACCGTTTTAGTTAGAAGTCTAACCCCCTAACCACTGTGCCGCGGGCTCGTTGCCTTGCCAGTTTCGGTGGGGAATATAGGTGCTTAGCAATCGGTTTCAGAACTCACTCGTTCATTCACTCGCCTTCTTATCGCTTACATTTGCATTCTACTGACCCTCTTTGTGACGCATTGTTCCTATTCAAATGACTTGTGAGGAGCGGTCTCACTGAGCCTGGAGACGGGCTATAGAAGTACTCCATTCTCGTCCATCTTAATTCGCATTTCTGCTGTATAAGTAACTGTGAATCGACCTGCAATATCCTTATCTGGCCACGGTTTGGCCTGCTCAAAATCCGCTTTGATGAAAGCATGCTGAAAACCAAAACAGGATGCTATAGGGCATTTCAGCTGATCAGATGTGGTTGTTTACAAGGTAACTAATGGAAGAAGTACAGAAGAAGTATATTCGGATTTTGTCTTTGAATACGGACGGAATGACCCTCCGAAAGTGTCTATAAGACTGCTATTTTAGCCAGTCAAATGACTACTAATCCTGCGTGTTTACGGCCATAAATATAACAAGTAATTATAGTCATTATTTCGAAACAGTCCCATAATATACGGCGGATTATTCAAAGACGTGAACTGTACACTTGCCAGATCTATTGACACTAGCTGTATTTCACGTCTTCCTTATTGGTTCCCCGCAGGGCCCAGCAGTCCAAGTAACTAAGATGTTATAGGTATGCAGTAGCTTAACGACTGTTTCCTCTAGCTATTATAACTCCCTGTGTACGAAGTACCCGTCTCTGCTACTACCTCTGATGACAGGTTGCCGAAGGAATCTGAAACGTCAGGCGAATACAGTTCTTGTCCCTGCTATCGTATTTACTTCTTCTTAGCCGGATGTCTCTTGGTTAAACCCCCTTCTGCCACCGGAGATGCCTTCGCTCCGGCAACTGTTAATGTTAGCAGATTACTCTGCCTTTCTCCCTCGCCAAATGCATGTGAAAAAAGCGAATTTAAAACGTTTGGGACAAAACTTCATGTCTACAGACCTTTCCCTTCAAGTGTGGACTAGTCATTCCGCTTTCGGTTACCTTTCATCTCCTCATCTGGTGCGCTTTTTATCCTTAAGGAGTAGCCACCACCTTCCCCATTACCCTACTTTGCTCTCTCTCCCCTTTCAGGGCTTCTTTCGACGCACCGCCCTCTCCAACGTGAAGCTCGAATGTCTGGGAAAACACAACTGTTGTATAACACCCGCCAACAGGAACATGTGCAAGAGCTGTCGTTTCCAACGCTGCCTCGCGGTCGGAATGTCGCAGAAGGGTGAGTTACCAGTGATGTGGTAGTTTCTACTTCGATGTGATGTGATGTCTGCGGACATAACAGACGCGAGAACCCAGTATTTGAGTTTTGCTGGAAGAGGGCGACGTGTTTCTACCACCCTTGACAGGTGTGTAAAGGCGAACATCTACGTTTCGGCTACTTTGCTGAAGAATTACTACCATCAGGAGGCCAGAAGTCCGTACTTGTCGCGGGACTTATTATGTGCGCGATGTTTTCTCTTAAGGGGCTTACCGATTTGTTCAGCGTTCTCAGCGGCTAATGTAACTTTTCAAGCCTCAATTAGATTTGATCTTGAAAAGTGTACTGTTAAGTACCCTGAACAACCCATAGCGGCAAGCGAAAGTCCTTGGTGTCGTCCACATTTGCATCGATAGGTAAACCTTAGATGCAAGTTAAGGTGTTTGTCCTTAGAGAAGAGATTGAAGCTGAAGGCAAACTCTCTCTAGCTCCGCAATCAACCCTCATCCAAACAGCACAATCTTGTCAGATATGTTTAACTGAACGCAAAACTGCCCTGACGAATTTAACACTCGTGGTGAATATACAGATCACAGGGTGGATCATACCGAAACTTCCATCTGTGCTGATCTGAAGGTCGGTGATCTACGGCTGCTTACATCGAACAGTAATCGAGTGCACTGATATGATCTAGTTAAACGCGGGTGTGTGGTGGCACGTCTGTTATAGCCTCTGCTCTTCTTGCCAGCTTGGCATCTTAGAAGTCTTAGTTCATCTCAGTGTCTACCCCTCTCCTCCTTCCCTCGATAATTTTCTTGTAAATATTTTAATGGACAGGGAGCCTCGCTACACAGAATGCTGAAGAAATACTCTTCTTGATTGGAAAGCGACCCCAGTAAGCTGCTGTAATGTTGCTTTAACGCCATCTGCAGCGCTTCTAGACAGGTGCACGCCATTTTAGTAATTACATGTTTAAAGTATATCACATAAGGACATATGTCTCCAAGCAGCTTGACCGAATTTTGGAAAGCAACTGTCCCAACGATCGCATCTACTGCCCCTCAATTACTTCCTGGGACTTGCTTGTACTGGCAAGAAACTGTTATATCTCTCGCCGCATGAGGCGAAATCATACCTCGTTCTACTGTTTGTAAAATTTAGTTGACCCAATTGTGAAAAAACTCGCGGCATTCGGGGGATTCGAACCC